ATGTGCCACACTCTTTTAGTCAATTTCTCAGCCCTTCACACAGTTCTTTTTAACCTTAGCATCCGACCGAGAAATCAAAAAATTTTGCCTTAAAAGCACGTTGGCAGTAAAGCAAGACCGTTCTGAAATACAAACAATAAAACACATTTCCAGCTAGACATGGTCATCTTGAGGAAACTGTAGATTTTTTTTTACAAGGAATTCTTCAACATTTAATTCTTTTGAGAAGCTGTCTTCTGCAGACTCAGAGAAGCAGTGTAGCAATTTTATTAACGAGACATATGAAGAACTTAAGTAGAAATAAGATCCAAAATAATCTGTCTAGAAAGCGATATTTTGAAACCTTCAAGAGAAGCGTAGTGCTTCGAGATAACTTCTTTATTGAGTGTCAGGATTACAAGGTTATACCTTCACGGTACCCCGAGTTACGACAAGATTAGCGAGGCAAGCAAGTAAAGAAAATTTTCGTTTGACGAAAATTTTTGGCTTATTTGGAGGTGAAAGTGATTTTTTTTAATTGAACTATTACTGTATTTCAGGATGCTTGAGTCCGGCTAATTTAGTAGCAGGTAATTAACTGAAAAGTTTTTATTACTGAAGAACTTTCTTAAAATTTTAGAAAATGATCATTATAGTGGTCACTGTTCAAATTTATATCGCTTTACTTAGACCATATAAAGAACTTTGGAAAATTATTCAACGTTTTTTGCTGTTGCTTCTCCCCTTCCCTTTTGAAAAATTGATAAATGATCTTAGAAAGTTCTTCGTAAGACTTGAGAAGTCTCAACTAACTAAAACTTCAGCAGTTTTTATTGTACATCTTTGATACCTGCCACTTTAATTGTAACTAGTTATGAGCTGGAAGCTGGAATTACTGACGCAAACACGCAGTAGGCGATGCAGAAACTTGTTTCTATTCCGACTAAACCAATGTTGTAGAAATTTTGGCATTTGTCTAATAACGCCCTAAAACATCTGATTTGGAAGTTCGACAGAATTCTCTGCGTTTCATGTTTTATTTCATGCCCCTCGGTAATTCTTCTAGTCCCGTTTCTTCTTTCTGCGCAGAGCTGAGAAAATAGGCGTTACACAGTCCTGTAGTCTCTTTAAGATTACTTAACTGATATTTTATTTAATTCCTCTTTCTATACTCTTCTTTCCAGTGACTGATTGTTGACCTTTGCTTTTTTTGAAAGAAGTAGCCGAACCACTGCACATACTGCCGTTTTCACTTTGAACCAGCTGTTGCGTTTCTAATAACAGTCATTCGCACAGTTGTGATTTCGTGAGTTTGAACCTTGTAGAGTTGACGTCTATTTTTGCTGTTTATAACTTGATGTTAATATATTCCTAATTAGATCAAAGATGCTGTTCTTAATACTTACTTTGACAACAATAATGATTCTCTTTGTGTTCCGATATTTAATTATTGAAAAATGGCTTATTAATGATATCAGTGAGAAAGCGGTGCTGATTACAGGGGCTGGATCGGGTACGTTATTTGTACTATCAACTGTTTAAATCGTTGACTTGTTTTCCGGAGTATTTTTTGAGTAGTCTAACCAAAAAAGTGAAGCGGAGATTACTTTTTAAACGTAATAGAATAAAACAAATATTTTTTCAACACTGCCGTAAGTTACTAACAATCGTGAGGAAGGGTGAGTAAAAAATATGACCGTGACAGACAACGATGTATCAATATCCTAAGATACACTGGACCACAAAGTGGATCATCTGATTTACGTTATAATACTTTCAGGGTTTGGAAAAGCTTTTGTGGAGAAATGTTTAGATGAAGGAATGACGGTATTTGCAGGTTGTCATCGACAGGAAGTAGGTAGCTAATTGTCTTTTTTTTTTTTTAATCTTACTTGAGATCTTTAGATAAACATGTTCTGATTATGCCTTTAATGTTTAATGCAATCCTTAAATAAATATCAACTTACATATGCATTAAAGACGGCTAAGATTATTTATAGTAAAAATCGGGAGGTCAAAAGATCAGTGTTTGAGAGGTATAATAATTGTGTCGAAAGCAACAGCTCGATCAAGTTAATTAGGCTATTGATCTTTACATATTCCGTAATAAAGAAAGCTTGTTTAGTCAGCTGATGAACTGACTAAAGAGTTTAAAGCGAGAAAGGGTCAACTCGAAGCATTTCAAATGGATGTTACTTCCAATGACAGTGTTCAGAAAGCGAGGGATTTCGTCGAAGAAACGTTAAAAAATCTCAGCAAAGGTTGCTCACCTCAGCAAGCTATTAAATACAGATAAAACTGTTTCATTGTATTTGATAAGTATCAGTCCTCTTTCACATTTAGTATTTTCTGAATCTAGCATTGTCAGGAAAGTATGAACTTTGTGGTTATGCTAGATTTTCAAATTTCAAATAAAATTTGAATCAAGTATGTATACTGCTTAAAATTTCTTATTACTACTTTTCTTTATCTGCTGGTAGGTCTTATCAAGTAAGGTACGTTTACTCGAATTGGAGCTTAAAATCATAGTTCAAGTCTTTGTAAAGTTTCAAATATTTGCAGAATTGTATGCAGTTGTGAATAACGCTGGTGTGTATGAAGCTTCTATAACTGACGACTTTTTGAACTTAGATGATTACAGAAGAATGATGGAAGTGAATACCTACGGAATGATAAGAGTGACGCATGCATTCAAACCTATGATCAAGCATTCGAAGTAATGATTGTTTAGTAGTTCTGGTATTGGCTATCACCCTTTTTGCATCTTTAATTTCTTTAAATTGCTTATTCAATAAGAAAATTTAGATTAATTTGGTTCAAGGTGTTCATTTAGTATATTTGGTCTGTCTTTTAGCTTGTAAGTGTCGCATTCAATTAGAAACATACCATTTTTAGCAGAAGGCAGAAAGCTTATTTTATTCCTTGTCTCACTTCTCCATCTTTTTTTGATGACTTCTAAAATAATCGTAGGTTACACATTTTTAGAAAGTGAAAAAATAACACAGTTCCCCTCAAGCACGTTTACTTCCTATATCCTAATCACATTTCCTGATAAGAAAAAAGAAGAAAAATTGTCTTCTGTAACTCCGCACCATACCAAAGAGTTTAAAGTTCAAACGGAAACAACAGTTCTTATAGACAACAATACTATCACTGTTCTTCTAAACAATTTTGATAAGCAACGTGTCACCAGTAAGACTTGTTTTTTAGGGGCAGGATAATAGTCTGTACATCTGTTGGTGTGAAAATACCAGCCCCTTGCTTCATTTCGTACACTGTTAGCAAATTCGCTTCCGACGGCTACGCCAAATCGCTAAGGTTGTTTTTCTTGAAATTTCAAAAAATCAAATTTGTTTACTATTCAGCCACTTGCTTCTGACTCTTAACAGGGTTCTGACATAATAAGGACTTTTCTTCACTTTATACGTTTTTAGAAGTGATGACCACAACAACTGATGGTGCATAAATGCTTTTATCACAAAAAAATTAATTATTATAGATAAAGAACAATTGAATTTTTGTGATACTTAAGACAGCGTCCTTTCAATTCACTTCACCTTTTTTCTAGCTCATTACATTAATCAGTATTTATTAAGAGCAAAAAAGTAATGATTAACTACTGAGCATTGACTCTTTCTTAAGACAGAAAGGAACTACTTTAAACCACTTGTCCAGCATATAAGAAAAAATTGCATGATAACATAAGAATTTTCAAGTTGTCCAGCAAATTCGCTTGTGTAGGCAAGGAGATTAATTAATAACTAGCCTTTATCGTCTTAAAAAAACCGTTCCAATAAGCGTGTGATGATAAAGCTCATAAGTACGTGAAAAAAAAAAAGCGAAAATAAAAATAATGTTAAAAAACAATTTCATTTGCTGTAGGCTCAGTATCGCGAGAAATTGTCCAAGAATAACAATGACAAAACATGTTGCATTAAAAAGACCACCCTAAAAGTAGAAAAAAAAAATTTGCAGTAAGATGATTTAAATTGCTGTATTCATAAGTTAAACTAGTCATTTCCTTTAAAGGCATGAACTATACGACTTCGGTGTGAAAGTGATTACTGTAGAGCCTGGAGTGTTCCGCACGAAACTAAATGAAATATCAAAATTTATGAACGTGCTAAACAATAAGTGGCGATTAGCATCTAAGGAGCTTAGAGCAGAATACGGCGAATACTGGTACATCAGAGGTATCGGCCAGATTGAAATATTGATACGAATTAGTAGAACTACCCGACTGTCATGTCGCTTGTGACCACTCTATTCATATATTCAATTACGACCTTCTTTCAAATATAATAGTACCGTACTATCCTTGACCCAAGTTTCAATGCTACTGATTCCGATGCCGTTGGTAAGAGATTCTACGTCAACTTTGCAGCCAAGCGATACCTCATTCACTTATACGAGAGTGCCCCATCAAACGTTACTCCAGTGACAGATGCATACTTCCACGCAGTCGCAGCTAAATTTCCCTTGGTAAATTATAGCGCAGGCTTTGACGCTTCGTACACGTAAGCATCTTATCTTTTAACTTCAGACTTTTTGCACAAAAATCTTAGAAGGCCACTTTCATGTACTTTATAAATGACAGAGTGACTTAACTTTATTATTTCAACAAATTTTCGTTAACGTTTTCTGAAATTCTGAAAAAACAAAATAATTGTCCGCGATCCATCATCTCAGCAACTGTTTGCCTAAAAAAGAACACTAATTTTCAGCTACCGACTGTATTCTTGGCTCCCCTTGGCTCTTCAAAATTGGATATTAGAAAGAGGCTTGCACCATTACGGCTTTGCAACACCATTCAGTTGTGATTTAAACGAATACTAATTAGGCACTTTTTTTTCTGACTGGAGGAGCTTGTTTGGAGAAAATGCATTTGAGTTTTCAGGAAGTGCTCCTTCTTTAACACCTGTGCTGTGCGCTTGATACTAGCTAATAAAATAAAATAAGTGTTCAAGGAACTTTTCAACATTTTTAAGAAATTTTTTTTAATTTTTGGTTGGACAAATGCGGGAAGAGTAGTCCTGGCATTCTGGAGGATGGCGCTCAGAAATCAAACACCGAAGAACCCTGTCTAAAGAGGTCAGTGCTCCGTAGTTGTGATAAAAATACTTCAAACTACCTTAAGTGTAATAGTCAAAAAGGTTAGAGAAAAGAAGGAAAAAGAGAAATAAAAAGTTGCAATTAGCAGGAAGAAATTCATGACTGCAAAAAATTTTCAGCAAAGGATAAACCGCAGTCATTTACGGTTAATAACTGAAACTCTTGTAAAATTTATATGTATAACTTGCCGAACATGTACCCTATCTGGGCCGATGGATGATTTCAGATTACTTATTGACTTATTTCTACAACCATGTGCAAAAGTTTCTAAACGATCAGGTGGCTTTGTTTCGTGGAATGAAAATGCTTTTCTGCTCCCCAAATGGTATTGCTTTGAGGGAAGCTTGGCAAAAGAATAAAATTGCTTTAGTTTACAAAAACAGCCTTAGGACATTTACTTCGCGCTCCCAACATATTTTAAACCTCCCACCAATGTAACTCTGTATTCCCACCAGGACAGTATCAGTTTTAAATAAAAAAGGAAAGCAGTATGTGACAGAAGACTTTAACTATAAGCTGTTGGTTCGACTCGTACTCAATCGGTTGTCATATGCTGTGCATAAAGCTTTGCTTTCCAAAAAAACAAGTTCTCGTTTTATTTTCTTAAATTGCGGGGAAGTTTCATTAACCATCCGGTTCTCGAAATCTATGTCAGGAAGCACGATCTTTCTAAAAGGCTCCGGCGATTCATATATAACAAACAATCCTTCCCCAGAAATAGATGCTACACCAATTTTATCTTCGATAATCTTAAGTAATCAGGTTGAAAGTGAATCTTCAATACTTCCTTGATGACAATACCTTTGCAAGAGAAGTTAGTTTCTCTGACTCAAGAAGAAGACCTCTAAGTGCAAATAACTGCATTAAACGGCAGAAAAATTAAAAAAACCGGTGCTAGACATACGAACGGCAAAATTTTTAAAAACCTCACCATAACGCTTTTGAGATTTTGAGTTACTGATACATATAAAGAACTATGTGACCGCGGTAGCGCTGTTGGGCCGAGCAAAGAAAAGCTTTGCTGCATCATCGCTGCCACCTCTCTATTTGTATCTTCAGATCCGAAAATTTCTGATATAATACAAAAATGACTTTGAGAATTACTGCAGCTTTACGGCGCTCGTCCTGAAAACTTCCCTCCTTGGTCACGTTTCTCGCCATTTCTCGCTTGATGAGTTCTTGGCTGAAGGTCTATTCAGATGTCGAAATTTTAAAAACGTTTACACAGGTTCTATTCAATTTTTAGAGAATTCAGATTTTGTAAAAAACAACCCTAGAGCGCCTTACATCAACATAAAAGACGACTATCGATAGAAATGCAATAAACTCTAAATATTTACTCTAAAAATTTTCACTAAGAACAGAATTTTAAAAAATGGCAGCGAAGGAACATATATACTTAAAAAATGAAAAAGGGGAGTGCAGTGAATACAGAAAGAAAAAAAAGGAGGAAAAACATACAACCAGAAAAGCAACTACGCTAAACTTATTGAAAGGTCCACTGAAAAGTCATAAACAAACCCGAACACACCCGCGCCAATAGTTCGAGCAGTATGAGAACTAGGTGGGTCATTCCACGTCAAACTGCGCACTTAAGTTAAAACCTTAGGTTTTTCTCACAATTTTTGAGCACTCAACTCAACCCGTTTTTCCCCAAGCAAGCCGCTTTT